GTATGTTTTTTATCTTTTGGAAATTCTATTGTAGTGGATCTTACTCAATCAACTAAATGTTTAATAACTAATAACAATTCAACTGATGAAAGAACATGTCGTTTACCAGATGCATTCGTAGTAGTAAGCTTATCTCAAATGTTTGTTTTTTAGTTTTTCATTCTGAACTATTAAGTTTATCAATCAATTTTTCGGGACACAGTTTTGGAAGTTTGTGTTTATGTTACACATTTGAAATCATCAATCAATCAATCAATCATTGTTAGACCACCACCATTAGAAACCTGGAAGCACTGAAAGACGGCCGTTTCGTCCTGGTATGGGACTACTCATCAGTGGCAGTGCGCATCTACGACTCTTGCTCCTCGCAGGATTCGAACCCGGGACCTTTGGCATTGTAGGCGAAGAACGCCTTACCATGAATTTTTCATTTGAAACATAATCTGAAAATTACACAGATTCAATTCATTTGGGGGGAGGGGTAGGTGGCGGTATGGTTGTATACAACCGATGAACTTTACTCATCGATCAATGTCGTCTACTTTTCTTAATGGAATTATCCTCTACGAACGGATTTGTTCAAATGATCGTTAATTTTTAAAGGTCAGCTGTGAACAGGAATAATATCCTTAGTCAATTCAGTTTTATGCTAGTTATCTTTGGTTAGTTCAAAGTGTATGCATGCTTATGAAAGGTAAATGATTATCTCTCTCTCTCTCTCTCTCTCTCTACAGCATTAAATCACATGTGATGCAGTGTTCATATGTCGAACTTTATGATAGTTGAATTCTTGGTGAACTGAAGTGTTAATATTAATTATTGACAATTACGCAGAGCATCTTTCCATACTACTACTACTACTACTACTACCAACTACAAAACATTAAACTAAGTGTATCACATATACCGTGTCTTAGTCATAGAAAGCCACAAATTGGCTAGTGTGAGTTATACAAACAGATGGGAGAGAGCGATAGCAATTCGCCCAGTTCATTGTTACAGAAATCAGTTCAAGGTCTTTAACCATCGATCGCTAGCATGTCGCGGGCCTCAACCAGGTATTCGACACCTACCAACATGACTTAGTCCACTTGTTGTCAGTGACTTCATGGATTTATGTCATGTTTTGGTTTGGCCGCCCTTAGCTTTCGTCCAACCTATTACTATATCGCAAAACATAGCTCGTCGAAGCAGTTGGTGGTTAGGCATACGTAACACATGTCCTAACCACCTCAACTGATGAAGTTTCAATGCTTCATCTATTGATTTGCCATCCCTACCTACTACTCGTTTACTAACGGCAGCATTGCTTACTCGGTTGTCCCAGGATACACGAGCAATGCTTCGGAGACATCGATGATCGGAGACTAGTAACCTACGGAAGTCCTCTACTCTTAACGGCTAAGTCTCGCTCAGAGTAGAGGACTTCCGTAGGTTACTAGTCTCCCACCATCGATGTCTCCAAAGCATTGCTCGTGTATCCTGGGATAACCGTATAAGCAATGCTGTCGTTATGTACACGTTTGTCCCGTAGAAATTTAAGCCACCTATGGAAATTGTTCTTATCCTTCAGATAAATACAATCCATCTATTATCCAAATAGTGTACATATATTATGTAACCGATTTCTATTTTATAGTTAAATTGTTGTACACTGTACTAGTAGTAGTGTGGTGCGCGCTGCTTATAAGTAGTATATGACGCGAGTGTAAACTTAATGTCTGGCAGCAAAAGATGGGGGAAGATCAAGAGAAAGGAAGAGTGGGAACACAATGGAATTTTTATGAAACGTATGAATAAGCGAAATGTCAGACAATGGAATGATGATGGATTGAAGGTTTGCAAATTAACGATTTACGATATGGTTTTCCTATTTTACCAATTAACTCTGTAATTTGCGATAAATAAAATTCGGTTGTCCTCACCTGTATTCTCTCTCCTTCACTACACTTTTTTTAGGGCAACCGAATTGTATTTATCTCAAATTACAGAGTTACTCAGTAGTAAAATAGGAAAACCATATCGTAAATCGTTGATTTGCAAAATATCAGTCCATCATCATATCGAACTGGACTGTTCCTGTTGCAAAACATCAATCCATTGTCTGACATTTCACTATTCATGCGTTTCATACAAATTCCATTGTGTTCTATCTAAGTCTTCCTTTCTTGATCTTCCCCCATCCTCTTCTGCTGCCAGACATTACGTTTTGCTCGCATCATATACTACTTATAAGTAGCTCGCACCACAGTAGTAGTAGTAGTAGTAGCCGAAATTCACTAGTTTCAATTCAATCATATTCTTTTCTTTTTTTTTCTAAAGGAAAATAAAACGATCAACAATACCTTACATGTTGTTGTTGTTGCTGCTGATGTAACACATTCACTCAGTAATAATAATAATAATAATAAACAAAATCAACCTACACACATTGGACTAATGACTCCATTAATGGAACGTTCCATGGAAGATTGTTCACATTTATCAACCACCATACAACGAAATCAGTCGAAACGAAAAAAACGATGCAAAAATGATAGTCAATCGACAACAGCCTCATCCTCATCATCAACATCATCAACATTATCACATGCAACCATCATTTTCTCCTCACCATCTTCTTTGTTATCATCAACAACAAACTATTCAACATCTGAAGTTGACTCTTCTCGTACACCATCACTGGTTGTGAAGAATAGCAGTTGTAGTAACAATGTTGCTGCACCATTTGCACATACTGATGAATTCTCTGTCATTATTGATGATCCTTCTTCACTTTATGATGAAATTGATAATATTTCTCCATCAGTGTAAAACACAAATAACTGTGGGTGTCATTGTGTTTGTTGTACTGTCCTCATTACTACCACTACTACTATGACTACTACTACATCAAATCCTAATCTTATTGTACATAAATTCCTCTGTTTTCTATTTCTCCTCCTTTGTTTTTTAACAATTAAAACACAGAAATACATATACATATAAAATTCATCAAACTCCTCTATCATATAACAATACAACCTTGTAATGTTGATTATTATTGCATTTATAATTGTGAAGAATTTCGGATAGAAAAAAAATCATGTTTAAAGCATAATCGGTGTTTTTACTGCTTCACTCACTTGTCTAATAATCAGATATGATCGACGATTTAAACAAACAAGTTCAGTTTATGTACATATATATATACATATATATGTTCGTGTTTCGAGGTTGAAACGCTTCTTTATCAATCTTCTGTTAACTGTCCACAACAATATTTTAATGTCATCGAATACAACACAATTCAATGTAACGATCATCATTTGATCGTTAAACAACAACTCATCAATCAACCGTATCAAATTGTAATGAATGAATGAGTTGTTGTTGTTGATTTAGTTAGTAGTGAGATCATTTGTAAAAACAATAAAGATTTCATGTCTCTATGATGAATAGAAGAGAAAGTTCTGTCTTTTTTTCGATCATTCCCTGTCTCTCTGTCTCTCCTCATTTTGTACATTCCTGTGTATAGTATTGAATTTGACATCATCAGTATTCTCAATTGTTGTTTATATTTACTTGAAATCTTATCTTATAATGTGGTACTATACGATTATTGATTGAAATTATCCCTTCATAACTAGCCAGCCTCTTGTTGTAACAGCAACTCTGTGTGCTTTTTTCGTGTGTGTGTGCGTGCATAATTTTCCCTTTCTCCTTCGTATTGCTGGTGTTGGTGTTGTTGGTACTTTCTTCCTCAATTTGTTTTTAAAATCATGTGTGTGTGTTTGTGTGCCTGTTTTTTCATGCATTCCACTGACATTCTCTTACTCTAAAATAAAATTTCATTATTCTAATAGTCTTTGTTTTGTTATTCTATGAATTCTTAACATTCTGGTATTGTTATGCTCATCTTTAGGTATGCTTAAAACTATTACGAGTTTACCTCAGTTGAATAACATGAACAAGACAATGAACCAGTAGCGTCCAGGTAGGCTACTGTGATATTAAGAGCAGATTTCCTAAGAGAGGTAAAAGCGATAATTGACTTGAGAAGCGGTAAAATGGTCACAAAGTACGGTTCATTGCCAATACATGAAAGTAGCGAAGTAGCTGAAATAAGGGTGACAACGGACGTCTCCACCAAGAAACCAAACATTAACGAGTTATGCGCAAAGTATGCGAAACTGTTCACTGGAAATGGGGAGCCGTATGGATTTTGTGATAAAGTAAAGCATGAAATTCCTATAAAGAATGACCGAGTAAATATATTTGCAACAGGTCGTGTCCCGGTGCATTTAGAGGCCGAAGTAAATCGACAGGTCCAGGAAATGTTGAAGGAAGGTATAATTGAGGAAGCAGACAGCCCGTATATCTCACCGGTACTCTTGGTAAGGAAACCCAATGGAAAGTATAGATTTTGTGTCGACTTTAGAGAACTGAATAATATAACAGACCTGAAACCGTGCGCAATGCCAACAGTAGTAGAAACATTAGATCGGCTACAGGATGCCACGGTGGTTACAGTGCTGGATTTACGGTCAGGTTATTGGCAACTACCTATAAAAGATAGCGATCGCAAAAAGACAGCATTTACTATACGGGATAAACAGTATCAATTTAAACGAATGCCGTTCGGGTTGGCTGGTGCTTCGTTCACGTTCAGAAGATTGATGACGCTGTTGCTTAAGAATCTAGATAATGTTGAGGTATATGGCGACGATGTAGTTGTATACAGCCTGACGGGAACAGATCACGTCAAGCATGTGGAAGCGGTCTTAAAGCGAATTGACGAATTTAGGCTTCGAATTTGACATCATCAGTATTGTGAGTTGTTGTTTTATTTACTTGAAATCTCATCTTACAATGATACTGTACGGTTATTGATTCAAATCATCCTTCATAACTAGCCAGCCACTTGTTGTAACAGCAACTCTGTGTGCTTTTTTGTGTGTGTGTGTGCGTTGGTGCATAATTTTCTCTTTCTCCTTCGTATTGTTGGTGTTGTTGGTACTTTCTTCCTCAATTTGTTTTTAAAATCATGTGTGTGTGTGTTTGTGTGTTTGTGTGCGTGTTTTTTGATGCATTCCACTGACATTCTCTTACTCAAAATAAAATTTCATTTATCTAATAGTTTTTGTTTTTTTATTCTATGTATTCCTTACCATTCTGATATTGTTATGCTCGTCTTTAGGTATGCTTAGTCGAATAACGAGAAAAAAACAATGAACCAGTGGTGTCCAGGTAGACTACTGTGATCCCATGACCGAATTGTATCAGCGAGAAGTATTGATATAGTGTAGAAATTGTATTCTACAAACACAGCCTAGCCAGCATACGCAATGAATCCAAGCAATCAAATTGCGTTTATTTATACACTTTGTAGAGACGTCCTTGGGACGTCACAGAAATAGCATACTGAAATAACACAGTAACGAATAACACAGTCAGGGATTTTCCTGGTGAGAAATGTGATCTCAAGGTCAACTAACTGATCGGTTCATGAAATCAATCCAAATGAAAGATATTTATATCAAGCAAGTTCTGGGGATCTAACATCCGCAACAGGTATACACTTGTTTACATACATACGTGTATACATGTTATTTGTTTGTATTTGGAAAGAAAGCGAAAATAATAATGATAATTAATTTTGTTAAAAAGCAAGGTTGACTGATTTTGAAAGTTATTTTTTTCGAATTTTAATCTACATTATCTCTAATACTTCTACTACTACCACCTGTACTATTATGGAATAGGAATTGACTTATTCCATCTCTCTGTGCTAGTTACAATATGACAACACTAATGTTCATACGAACGAAGATATATATATATATATATATAGTGGACAGTCTAAGCGGTGCAGTCAGATAAGGGAATGTGAGTAGAGTTAGTTGTGGAGAGAAGAGAGGTATGTGTGGGTGTAGGAAGGATTTGATGCGTCTAAGAATGGCAGATCAATAGACGCAGTAGTGACACTTGATCAGTTGAGGTGGTTGGGACATGTGCTGCGTATGCCTAACCACTGACTGCCTCGACGGGCTTTGTTTTGTAGTGTAGGAGTAGGTTGAAAGAAAGTTAGGGGCGGCCAAACCAAAACATGGCAGAAATCCATGAAGTCATTGACGAGTGGAGTTAGCCGTGTCGGTTGGGGTCCGCGAGATGATAATAATCGATGGTTAGAGACCTTGAATGACATGGATCAAAATCGTTTGCGATGGCGCCGGTGCATTTATTCTTTATGTTCTCTCAAATCCTAATCTTCTGGATTCTTCAACACCTCTAGTTTTGACTTTCTAAACTTTTCTCATTTAATCATACTTCTTGAATAATATCTTCTCATCCTAACCTCTCCGATTACTTCTAATACCTTTACTACCTCTTCTACTATTGGATTTGAATTGACAATTACATCTGTGTGATAATGTGGTATGGTGACATGAACTGATGTACTTATGTACGAAGTTCTACGTTGCATCTGACTGACTGGACAGTCGAGATTAGATCGGAGGGAATTATACAGATGTATCAACTACTCAATAAAACAGTGGCTATTTGGAAAATGTTATACAATTACAAGGGTGTTATATCTTGGCTATAAATGATTACGTAGTGGATTTTTCAGTCATCGTACAATTAATTCTATTTAAGAACAATTAAGAATTGTTTAATAGAAATAAGATAGTATGCATCAATGTAGTAGCGAGCCTTAAAACAGACAGATAGATAGACATTGGATTGAATTGCTATAGCTGATTAGCACGACAGAATGAGAATATAACAACATTAGATCTTGGGAATAATGCTTTCAATAGGCAGAGGGACAAATTATGCGCGAAATGATACTGAGATTGAAGATTACAAAGACAAATAAGTTAGTGACATCTAAGCTTTTTCATTCAAAGCTTCCAAACACAACCATCTTGATAAACTGAATAACTTGAAATAGTACAATTCACTGTATACACGATAATCAAAGAATAACCTTGAATCTGACTGAATATTTGTAGACTAGAAATAATGGCAGCCAAAATTGATTTGGAAGTAAATCACACTGTTATCATTGCTAGTGAAACTTTAACGTTACTAACCAAAATTCTGTTATTGTCTTACCGAAAGGATACGGCATTTTCGCCTGATAATTAATGAACTTATACGTGTTAAATTAACCATCAAAAATTAACGTAAAAATGATTAAGTTTAGGGGGAATCATGGCTAGGCGCATGGCTAAAGTACTTCGTATTAATAAATGAGTATTACAATCGAATCCTTATTTTGAAATCTTCATAAATTCTGTTGATCTATATTACGTTCATTTTAACTGTTTTTCTTTGAAGAATTAGTGAATTTCTATTTGTTATTTTAAAAATCTCTCAAGTTCGTTGTTATTCTTTATTTTTCTCATGTTCATATAGATAAAAACATAATAAGCTACAAGCTGTCGATCATTACATTTTGAATTTCGCGCAAAATTCAAAAAACCACTATCTTAAATCTAACTTTACTTTGAAACCATGAATGAATCATTGTAAGACTATTGTTAGAAACCTGGAAGCACTGAACAACCGCTTCGTTCCGGTACAGGACTCATCAGCAGTGTGAATTCATGACTCTTGCAGGAATCAAAAAAAGGGCCTTCGGTCTCGCGCGCGAACACTTAACCTCTAGACTACTGAGCCGGCATCTAACGGTGCTACTGTCTAACCTTAGTGACTAGCTTCGTATTGTTCTTTGAGTTCTAGTAACAAGATGTGACCAGTAGAGTTCAATCCTTTCGAGTGTAGGCGATAACCACGGAAGACAATGTTTGACTATCATTAGGAAC